TAAAACCAGAAAATGTTATGTGGAGTCTGCACTTAAAGAGGATCTCAAATTTATTTAATCTATCAGTAAAGAGCTAGCTTTGTCAGGTGAGTTCAGTTTAGTTTTGTCAAATGTGTAATTGTATAGCTTAATATCCCATGCCAAGTCACATACAAGTTAGTAATTTTTTTTTGACAATTAATTACTTGTGAGGAAAGGTGTTTTTTTTCTTGAAAACCTATTTGAAAGTTTATTATGCTTAGTTAATTTAAGATGCTAACCCCCCACTTTTCCATTGTGAAAGAAGACTGGCAGATTTTCTGTCTTTGCACGTAATTGCCTGAAAATATTAATACTGAAAATTTTAATAGCTGCTTGAAGAATAATTGTTAATTCTGCAAATACATAAAGGAACAGAATTCATTTCATCTTCTTTACTTGGTGTTTGTTGAGGCACGGTGTCTTGAGAACGGAACTGGTTTGGATGGGCTGGATAGAATCCTGGCATTGAGGGAGCCTGGGATACATGATTTAAACTAAAGGTGTATAAAAGAACATCTAGTTTATCAAGGTCTGCTACAGGTAGGTTATAGCACAATTTTTTATATCTGTAACTTATAGCTGACAAGTTTCCTACAACAGAGTTGTGTTGCCTGTTCATGCTTGGTGATGAAAGTTATATTTAAAAATTTTAAGGTAGGCTTGTTATCTAACTTAACAAATGATTTAAAAAAGGTCAAGGGAGATTTTTTTGTTAATTTGTTTTCTGCCAAATCTTAATAAACAAATAAATGCTATAGAATACAAATTTCAGATACTTTTCATTTAGATATTTTATAAATTAAATTAGAATAAAAGTTGTGATAAATCAGATTGAAATTGGGATATTGTGTTGTACAGTTTGCTTAAAAAAAAGTCTATTGCCAGTTGTAGACTGGATGATGGATTGAAAATATCAGTGACAAGCTATTATACAGTCTCGTGCTAAGTCTTGAACAGGTTTTAGAAGCAGTACTTACTGTTGTATGCGTAAAAATTGGACAATTTTTGGACCTTTGTGTTTTGTACTTTAAATTTTCTTCAAAGGATACTGCAGAGCTTGCAGCTCTAACAGTGACACTCCAGGTAGAGCTGGTGGGTTCAGGGGTATATATTTGACTTGATTGGCATCTTCATGTTTGCACGGGAAGCTTTAACACCTGCAAAGGAGCCCTGGGGACAATTGCGTGTTGAGGGAAAGCTTGCTTTGATCAAGTTTTGTATATATTTAAATTCTTCAGGTTGGAAGCATGAGTGATCTTATCTCTAGAAGGTTATGCCTTCATTTTATTTGCCTTTAGAGCTTAATTTCTTTGGCATTGCTAGATACTGGGCTTCTTTTCAGTGTCCTGCAGGTGTGTACAATTTTAAAGAATTGCATGAATAGCCAAGAGCTAGAGCCTACATGCAAACATTTGACAACTTACTATTTAGATTTAAGATGAAACATAATTTAGATGCAAATACTTGTAAATCAAAACTCTTTGAAGATGGAATTGACTGGTGCTGTCAATAATTTAAAACTGGGAAGGTCTTGCTAGTATTAACTTACATTCCTGAATTCATTCAGGAATTACATTCTTGAATTTAATTCATACAGGTATCTAGCATCTCTGCTAATCATTATATGTTATTATTTAGCTTGTTGTCAATGAAAAACACTTTTCAATGAATTCTGCAAGGTATGTTTCACAAACTGTAAATGTGTTTTCCTGACAAAAGGTAGAGAAGAAAAAAATTTAATGCCTGTGTGTTTTACTTGTCGTGTTTCAGTAGCACTAGTTCTACCTATTTTTGTTTAATGTGGGAAAGGAAGTGTGCCAATATACTACTTTATAATGATGCCTTTGTTTTCATGTGTTTCCTTCTGATACACTTGCAAGAGAAGTACAGAGGGATGCTTATGCAGATAGAGAGAAGGGAAATTGAGTATCAGGTCTAAATTTGATGTGCTGAGCACGGATGTGCTGAGCACGTACGCCTGCTCCCTAAAGAGCTTCTAAAACTTTCTTACATCACAAAGAGGTAAAATTAAGTAGATTAAAAAAATTAAAAAATTTTGAGAGATTGTAACGGTACTTGCTGTCTGTAATTATCCCTTTAACTCTTTTCAGTTTGCAACAGTACGCTTCTACTTAATAGCCCTGTGCTCAGATTTTAATAATTAAAGTTGATCAGAGGTGATTGCCCAGATCCACTAGTCTAATAAGAGAGTTGTAAAAGACCGTGTCCATTAAAGTTGCTTTGGCTCTCTCATTTTACCTCCTGCTGGAAGAATTGCTTTATGGGGCAATGTTAAAAGAAAGGCAAAATCCCTGCTTCTTGTCTTTATGTGGGGACAGAAGTTGCTACCTAGCCTTGAGGGAGAAGAAGTATTTGTAGGAAAATATAACTAAGTTAAATTTTAAATCAGTCGACTTCCTTGCCTCGGATGTCTGCTGGGATCTGTGTTTCCCAGAATTCCTTTAACAAACGGTCTGGTTTTTGTCTAAAAGAAGGCGGCTCTTTTAAAGACTCTTTCAACTCCACACCAGTTTCAGCTATGAATGGGATTAGGAATACAGAGTTTGCTTTACAGCTTTATTGGCACAAAGGCTTCCTTCCGCGTTTGTTTCTTGCATAATCGAGAGGGAGAGAGACTTGCATCCCCTTTTCTGTCCTTGTAAAAAAAAATATTTTTTGGAAGCGAGGAGGGGAGGACAGGACACAATGTTATGCAGCACAAAAACCTCACTCGGGGCTCTTTGCAGTAAATTTCACGAAAAACAGGAAGGCCTGAAATTTCATTTAAAATGTATTTAGAGAAAAAGCCAGAACAATTAGATGTAAATGTCTGGGTGGAGTGGTTATTCAAGATACTGACTTTTTAATTGCTGGCTGTTATCCAGGTGGCGTTAGCTCTTAAACTTCCTTTGGTTTAATTACTTTAATTGTAGCAAGTGCTTAATTCTGCCCAGTATAGTGCCTGACTCCCTAATTATTTTCCACAGTCTATGCTTTTTTCCAAATGAGAGGTGCAAAGTATTCGTATTACCAAAAAGCCAGTAGATTTTTTTTATTTCAGGATTATATGGTAGCAAACTGTAGAAATAGAGTGTTTAGCTCTTGTGAATGGGAAATATTATTTACATTTGGGAGTGAGTAATTTAGGGTTCACACAGGCCCACCTCTCCAGCCTGTCCAAAATTTTAACATGGTTACACAATTCAATTCACTTTTCTCACTTTCACTTTTAGATATGCTTTGGACTTGACTGCTATAAAGCAGGCTTTTTTTTCTTTTTTTTTTTCCCTGATGGGTCAGGTTTAGAAGCACAGAAGATGCCTCTATCTTTTTTGTTTATGGGTGTGTTTGCCTATTGGCTTCCCTGGAGAGCTTTTTGCATTTACGTTGGATCCTTGGTTAAACAAGAATGACTTTTTTTTTTTTTTTTTTTTTTTTAATGTTGCCTTCTAATTTAACACTGACGTCTGAAATAGTAAAAGACAAATCAGAACAGTGCTTTCTGGTTTAAGGTGTATGCATTTGTGCTTGGGCCTTTTATGTCTGTTGCAGCTTGTGAACTGGAAGGAGAAGTCACTCTTGCAGTAAGCTGGAATTTCAGCAGGTTTGCTCAATTCATGGGGGTTCCTCTTGCTTCCCTGTTGGGTGTCTGGATGAAGTGGGTTGTATCGGCTCTCTGCACAGTCAGTAAAGGGACTCTCACTCTCGGGAACTGCGTCTTTCTCTCCCTTCTGACCTGAAGGTGATCTTGCACTCAACTGCTCAGAGTTTGGCATATGAACCAAACTCCAGATATCCAGCAGCGTGGGCGCACGTGCGTGCGTACCTGCGTGTATATGTCTAGGTCAAACTGCTGGGATGGAAAGGTTTTAGAACTGACGTCGTAAAAGAGATCATTACTGAATATTGTCTAGAAATACTGTTTGTGCAGAGTTCAAAGCAATCTGATGGTCTTTGATAACTTTTGTAAAAACTTGGGTATATTGACTTGTTCTTGTCACCACCTTACATGTGAATTGCCTGGAGTTTAAGGTTGCCCTTCTTCAAAACATGACAGTCACAGAGTGGCTTTCTTACATAAACAAATGCACTCACCAATACTGGTCTTAGTGATCGGATTTTAGTAAGCGCTTGCAGGATCAACCTTCAGTCTTTCTGTGTTTATGCTCTGATAAATACACAAAGTTTTGTACGATGCTGTGTGGTGGGGTTAGAGCCTGGGAGAAAACAATTACTTTTTATTCCAATTTTTTAACTGAAAACTTGCTCACGTTTAGACAAAGCTAAGATCTTTAGAAGAGTTTAATGAATAAATAGACTAGCAGCTTATCGAGTGAACAAATTTGGGAATAGGTCTACTAGGAACATTATTTCATCAGTGCTTCAGCGGGAAAAGTGCCGTTTCCTGACATTCTTTGAGTTTTCCCTGGCCTGTAATCTAGTTAATTATCAGCCTGACCATATATTTTGTTGCTGTGCAGTCTTAAGAGATAAAGCTAAAGACAAGGTAGCTGTAAAAGTGGGTGGGATGGAATGGGAAATATCGAGGGAGATGGTTTAAAAAATAGTAATTAAATGAAGGTATAAGTTCAACTAGATGCACGTGGTATTTTCTCCAAAGTTAAGTGAAAGACTGTGTCGGTGTTGCTGCCGTAGGTCTGCTCCCTGTCAGGACGGAGACTGGAATTCCAACCGGAGGCGGGAGGCAGTCTGGTGTTGCCGGTCTCCTGCCTTGCACAAGCCATGCCATGGGGCTGAGGGTGCCTGCTTGCCTCTCCCCTCCATCACAACTCATTTGCAGCTTTGCTAGATGCAGTCCAGCTGAGACCGAGTGGAGAAGATTAGGATTTCTTTGTAAATAAGTCTCCCCAAGGAAATAACCTGCTGTCTTCATGCTTGTCTTGTTGAAGGTTAATTGATTTTGTTTGATTGATGTCTTTTAAAACCTAATGAAGATTTTTTTGTTGTGTTCTTTTTAGATTGGTGCATATGATCAACAAATATGGGAAAAATCAGTAGAGCAAAGAGAAATAAAGGTAATAGTATTATAGCGTTTCAACATTTTTCTTGTGGCCAGTTGTCAGCAGCGCTGTCTGTGGTTATGTACACTGGTGTAATTTACAATGTATGCAGTGTTATTTAATACTGGTAAAGTAAAACCAGACTTCTGGGATGTAACCAAATGTAACTGGCATATTTATTTTACATAATTAACAACTCTGCAGCATTTGAAGTGCTGCATCTTTCTGTATGTCAGTACGTTTTTGGTTTGGTTTGTTTTTTTTTTTCTTTTCAGTTGTCTTAAGGCAGGGCTTAGTTGTTTTAGTACCTCTGTCTTTTCTTTGTGATGAATTCTAATGTCAGTTATCTGAGCTCTCTTTACTTTCAGTTAGTTACCTTATACCTGCAGTTTACTTTTCCTCCTTTATGATGCTGTCATTGTTTTGTACAGTTTATTAGACTGGTAAGTACTTCAGGCTTTGTTTCTCTGAACAAGCAGTTTAACAGCATTCTTTGCATTTTGGTTTAACTAACAGTGCCATCAATGTCTGCCACATTGCTAAATTGTTTTGGAGAAAGAGAAATCAATCCTATATGTAATAGTTTTACGGATTGTATGTTATGTCATACTCCATGATGTTAAAGTTAATTTAATTAACATTTTCTTGCAGTTAACCTTTTTTTTTTCTTCAACTACTGCACACAAGAAGTATGCTATTACTGCATGAGTTTCAAGGCATTGCTAATTCTTTTAACATTAGCAAAATGTACATGGCTTCAGTTTCCCTGTGGGTGTGGGTTTTTTTTCCTCCCCTATACTTGAATAGCTAAACAAAACATGCTAGGGGACTAGTTTGCATTACATGGAAACTGTTGCTGACCTGAACTACAGAGTTCCCCGATCTCTGTACAAAAATCTACAAATTAACTTTTAAGTCGGAGCTGACGGTATTTTTAGAAGTGCTTCTAAACCCGATGCTTGAACTTTTGCGGTGCTGTAAATCCCCACCTCCAGCAGCATGCCTGGCTGGGGTTGCGCCAGGCAGCCCGGGCTACTCGGAGGTGGCTGGTGGATCTCGAAGGGAGCACGCTTCCGAGTGCAGCACCAGCTGTGGCAGATGAGTGCTGTCAATACAAGCAGGAGTCTGCTGTGGGGAAAATTGTCTTGTGGTGCCGTTCCTCTGAAGCATGCAGAGGGAGCGCTTTCGGAAATGTTCCTGACAATCATTACAACCCATTGCAGACTGAGACCCTAGCGTGTTACCTGTTTCTGGGGTCCTTTCCATGACCAGGAAAACCAGTCACCATTATGACAGAAGTTCTTCTAACTACTGTATAATAGGACATTATTCCAATGATTTCTTGAAAGTAATGCCTTGTGCTTATTCAAAATGCATCTCATTTGGCTCAGGAGTCCAATAACTAACAAATTAATGATGGTGTCTATATGAGTTTGTGTTGACTGAGTGTAGTGTAATAACATTAACACTGACGCAGACTGCTAAGTTCAGGTATTGCACATCAGTGCTTTAATCTCAAAGCTACCACAGTACTGTTTCTAAATGAACTTTACTAAAAATCTAAAAAATTATTGGGTTTAGTAGAAAATCTGTTTCTGATACATTAAACTTAGTTTAGTTAGAACTACAGTAGAATATATTAAGATTCATTTTAAAATTTGTGCAAATGAACTTATACAATAATAGCAAGTATTTTAAGCATTTTTATTTAAACTTTATTTTTGCTATTAGTTAGCCAAGATGTATTTTGTGTGGAATAGAAATTATATGAACTAACTGGGTGGGCCTGAACAGTATGAAACAGTATGAATGCATTTTTTAATTAACCCTAGTTTGAAACACTGCTGTTTTTCACATGTAATACAGATATTTGTGATGCATTAAGAGAGTGGAGAAATTCCATCTTAATAAATGGAATTCTTTCACTGCATATAGCAAAAAGTAGAACCACCAATCCAGTATAATCCATGGACACTGAAAGCATTTGAGATTTAAGCAATGGAATTTTTAAAGAATGTGTCACCACTTCTTTTCCTATGAAAGATATATCAAGTTATAATATTGACTTTTTTTTTTTTCAGAATTCTTTCTTTAAATTGAAAACATAATTTTAGCCACAGTGGTAAATTTTTCCTAGGATTGTGCATGTGTTTCCAGGGGGTTATTTCTTCTAAAATACACATATATCTTTATTTAGACTTTCAAGAAAAATCTTGTGGCCCATAAGCAGTAATACATTTGAAAATTATTGTATCATTCAGCATTTTATTTCCGAGCTTTAGATCTTCTTATGAAATAGAGTGGCTCACTTATGCATGATTTCACAAGAATCTGTAGCTTGTTCTAGAATTATAGTAATTTCCAATTCTAATGATGGCCTTGTTTTCTCATTCCACTTAAAATCACTGCAGTTTTAAGACTGCTGTTCTGTAAAAATCTTGAACGTTAAACTCTATGAAGTGCTTAAGTCTACGATACAACTGGGTTTCTGTATTTGTCATCCTCAGAGCGCATTTTGTCTTATGCATGTTTCAGTTCTATGTATTAATTTTGTTTTGTTTCAAGCAAACTCGTTTTTCTAATAGGCACATCAGGTGATAACTATATAGCTAGTTCATTGTGAACAGTCTGGGGTTTTTTTCTAATTTTTATTTCAGCATGGAAATAATTGAATTTAGATGCAAGTAATATTACAAGCTGCACTCTACCTATTTGAACTTGCTTGATACTGTTCTTATGAAGATTAACATGACCAGATTTCACTGGTTTTTCCCTCATAATTTCATTTATATATTTTCATCTGAATTTAATGTTTACATTTAAGTAATAAATATTTTTAAAGATGGATGAAATATTACAATGGTGGAAATCTACAGTTCACCAGTGAATTTAACTGCTTTTTTGAACGAAAACAGTTAAACCACTTCCATCATAGTTCTGTTTGTACCTGAAATATTTTTTTAAATGTTATATTCTACTCTGTATGAATTGTACTCTGTGGAATCGTTGTTGGCTGGTGTGACCAAGACCACTGATCTAAAAGGATCAGAATAAACTCACAGCTATCTCTGAGGCTTGAGAGTATAGCATCACATTTTAGCATTAAAAACAAAATTGAAAGTTTTGCAAGATAGCTTGGCTCTTTAGTGAAGGGAGATACCATTTCTAAAAGACAAAGTAAGCTTGCTTTTCTTTCTCCTGCTTATTTCCTGTTACATGGGCTTTTCCCCACCCTCTTTTTAATAGACTTAATTATATTCACTATTAAGAAAAATTCAATACTTCTTTATAATTTGGATTTCTGACAGTGGAACTTGCTGATTAGTGGCTCCTGCATTACAACATGATTTGCTACCTAGGTTTGGAATTGCAATGGAGTTGCAATGTAAGCATTTTGTGAAGTTTAATTAGACATCTAAGGAGAAAAGAGTTCAGGAAAGTAATTTGTTGCAACAGTTCTGAAAACCTAATATAAATGTATTACTAATTCTTGCAAGTGTGTGCATATGTTGTTTGCATAATCCCAAGCCATGGGAGATGAGTTCTCAGTGCTTAACTGTGTTTGAAAAATTACCTAATGGGTCAGTAATTGGTTGGGTTTCGTTTAGGTTGTAAAGTGTGTAAAAGGCATTTATTGTGCCTTGTTCTTCGGAATGTTTATTTTATAGTATTTCAAATCTATGAAGTTGACATATTTGTCTGAATTTTTAATAACAGTTTAGGTTAAATACAATTACTGGCCACATGGATACTTTTTCTTTCCTAATGTCTGCATGAATGTATTTTGATAGTATTTGCCTATTGCAGGGTTTGAGAAACAAACCAAAGAAAACAGGACATGTGAAACCAGACCTCATAGATGTTGATCTTGTAAGAGGTAGGTCCTGAGCTAGAAAAAGCTGAATTTCTTAGTACAAAAATAACTGCCATCCTGTGTCTTGTAAGAAGAATGTATTAGTATTAAAAAACCCCAACAAAACAACCAACCTTACGTAACTCCTCTCTAAAGAAGACGGGTAGGACAAACTGTTAAAAGATGACCTCTAGGTTAAACTGAAGTCTTAAAAACTTGATTTAAATTTTGTTGTTTAGATTTAGATTTTGAGAAAAGAATCGGGTGGATTGTCATGGATCGAAGTTTTGGAGTTATTAGTTCAGAAATCTCCTATTACCATGCATTCAGACTGATTCCAAATCTTCTGGCATCTGGAGGAAAGAATAGAGTCATAGCATCATAGAATTGTTTAGGTTGGAAAAGACCTTTAAATCATCAAGTCCAACCATTAACCTAACCCTGCCATCCCACCACTAGACCATGTCCCTAAGCACCTCATCTACCCATCTTTTGAATACCTCCAGGGATGGGGACTCGACCACTTCCCTGGGCAGCCCATTCCAATGCTTGACAACCCTTTCAGTGAAGAAATTTATCCTAATGTCCAACCCAAACCTGCCCTGGCGCAACTTCAGACCATTTCCCCTTGTCCTATCACCTGTTACCAGGGAGAAGGTTATATTGAAATTTCTGGAGAGCAAAAATTGTATAGGCCTTGAATATTTCTTGCCTTTTTTAAGTAACAAAACAGCAATGGAAGGACAGATGATGAGAGACTTTTCAAAAAGTCTTTATTTCTTCTTAATTTATTTTATCATTATCTAATTTCCCTCATGCCTGGTGAAGGCTAGGGAAAATATTATTTAGCATTTTTTCCCATGAGCCCAGCAGCCAGCAGAGTCTTCTGAAACCACTCAGGAGAGGGGGTGCTCTTTGAATTCAGATCTCCAGTTAACCAAAGCAGCCCGCAGTGCTCTTGCCCTTCGAGATACACAGGAGCCCTCACACCCAGAGCCGGCCCGTCGCTCCCAGGCCGCTTCACCCCTTCACGAGTTAGTCTGGCTTGGTCTTCGCTAGTGATCGCATGCTCACTTGCGCACCCGTGCTCACCCGGGTTGCTGGCACCATGGACACATGGCCCCCCTGACTTATGCTCTGACGTCTGGCTCCTGGTGCGGGCGCTCAGCCCCCCATACGCAGGCATGCAGACAGAATGGACCGCCCCTCGCCCAGGAGAGAGTTAAAGGAATTTAGTAAGAAGATACGACAGACTGTGCAGATCAGACAAGTAGCATACTGACCAGCAGCTATTTACACCCAACTGGCCCTTTTTATCCCCTGACCCCCTCAATTTCCCCACATTTGTTCCTCCCCAAATCACCTAAACCCCTCCTTTCTCCCGCCCTTGGTTCCTTCCCTAAACATTCCAGAGTACGTCCTGTGTGATCTGAGCTCCTTATCCCCTGCATCCCAAAATGCACCCCTGGGCAGCAGCCCCTTTTCATCTGATGTGGAGAGCTGCTCCCCAGGGCTCACAGTTTCACGCTCGGGCAAGGGGGCTGATGGCTCTGCTGGGCCAGCCCTGGGAGAGAGGCTTGGTCAAGGTGTTCCTTGGTTTGGATTCCCGCCTACCCTCGTGCCTCTGTCCGGCTCTGGGCTTGGGGAGATGGGCCTCTGGTGGGCTGATGACTCCAGTGATGGGCCTAGAAGAACCCCAGCAGGGTATTATTTGGGGTCCCCTCCTACCATTGTCTCTTTGAGCTCCTCTGAGGATATGCAGGCGAGCTTTTATCACATCACCTAACAACACAACTTTTTAAAAATGGGAATGTGAGAGAAAGAAACAAAATCAAATAACATTTGAATTTCAAAGAAACAGAACTGAAAACTAAATGTTTGTAGGAATCAAGGAACAGCAGCAGACCACTTCAATACGGTGATATACATGAATAGCATTTAAACAAGTGCTCTGTATGGATGTCTAAGTTGGCATTAAAGTAGTTCCAGTACTGGCAGCGTTTTACCTGTGCCACTCGCTAATGCCAGTTCTGCTTGTAAACAAGGTGGAGGTGGCATAGCAACATGCAGTAGTTGCCCTTTCCAGGCAGTAACCTTGGCATAATTTAAGTCACACCCCCATTAAGTAAATGTTACACAGTCTTCTAGGTGCCAGAGAAGTGGGAATTTGCTGGAAGAAAAAGAAAGGGAGGGATATGAGGGAGAAAGGACATTTGAAGGAATGAGATCAAAAATGGCGTAGGAGGAGAGACAAAGATAAACTATTCTTTGGGTGGCTTCCCTGCTCCTGAGGCTAGTCCTCAGCTGGACAGATACTTCTCTATGCTTCTCAACCTTACTCCATTTTCCTGAATGACATGGCTGGAGCAATTTCCAGATGTTGATGTTTTGGATACCTTTCCTGTGTCAGGAAAGGGCTCTGCTGTGCCTACACGGGCATGTGGAGTTTTCATATGACTTCCTGTTGCTTCATATCAAGTTTCTGATACCTCAGTGAAACAGAATAATTTTTAAGACTTTATTTTAAAATAATTTTGACATAGTAAGAAATGGCAATGTTTTCTTATGCACACATTCCAAAATCTAGGTATTTGTAGGAGTTCCTGATACGGCAGTCAAGAGGGGACCAAGAATTTACACAAATTTTGGATTGAGGAGATAGTGAAATGGTAGAAATATGAGATTTATTCAAATAGTTATGTTTAATAATTGCCTCTTTAAATAACTAATTGGACAACTGAAGTTATTATTAGCCGTGACAATGAAATACATTGAAATTTCTTTTCTTTTTTTTAAAGGATCTGCTTTTGCTAAAGCAAAACCTGAAAGTCCTTGGACATCTCTGACCCGCAAAGGAATCGTGAGAGTTGTTTTCTTTCCGTTCTTCTACAGGTGGTGGCTACAGGTGACATCGAGGGTCATCTTTTTCTGGCTGCTTGTTCTTTACCTTCTTCAAGGTAGAGTTGGATTACAAGATCAGCTTCAACCGAATGCCTTATTTTAACCATATGGAAGCTGCTGTGTGTTACTTTGTTCACTTTATGCTGTTAAGGTTCATTCCAATATTTCAGAAAATATTTTCTGAACTGACATAGTCCCAAGCATGTGTCTTTAGGTTAACATTTCTTCTACATATATAAAGGGAGCATACTAAAAATTTAAGGATTTCCTCACAGGCTTTCTTCAGCATTTAGCACACATGTTATTTTGTCATCTCTTTATATAATTTAGGTTTCCAGGGCTATCTAATTTAGTTCAGGACTGAGAAATATCAAAGAAGCCTTTGGCTTAGGCAGTGTATTTTGTCTTGGGCTTTTGGTCTTTCTGGCAGATCAAGAGCTGTGATCAAGAAGCAAGCAAGGCCAAACCTGCCGAAGTGTTTGCAGCTTGTGCAGCCTGGTAGGATGATCTGTTTGGCCAATCTCCAGTTGTATTTCCATGTGTTATTTTCTCACATCAGAGGTAGTGAACTTCTAGCTTATACTTTAGTCAGACCTCAGCTGTGCTCCTCAGTGACTGGCAAACAGCAGGCTTATTGACCTATGTTCTTCTGCTATTTTTTCCATTGCAATGGGAAGACTATGCATCTTAATTTTCTATTTCCTAGATTATAGAAGGACTTTTGGGCAACTTTTAACAAACAGAAGGCAATTCATAGTTTTTGGGATGCTCAGGCTTGAGTTCTAGTAATCTGTCTTTGTGCTTCTCTTAGTTGTATGTAATATATAAGAGGAAAATTAGAAAGGGAAGGATGTAATGTAGTGAGCCAGTATCTAACAGTGTGAAAGTCACCAAAAGAGTAAGTGTATCAGAAGTGTGTACAACAGACATGGAACAGAAGGTTAGTGAAAGTTGGGAGCAATTTAAGTACCCTGAGAAGCTAAATGACTGATAAGTTTTCTACTGAAATCCAGTTAAAGTACAGTGTTACTTTTTCAATTTTGCCATCTGTCCTTGCAGTTGTGAATCACTGTATCATTTGGAAATTGTATTTAAAACAAGAAATGGAGTTTAAAAAGAAGAGATAACAGTGCCTCTTGTGTGATGACGTTAGCAGCCATAAAATGAATTTCACAGTGCCAGTGCCCCAAAACTTGCATTATTAACAAATATTCATGTGGTGTCCTATCAAAACAACTTCTTATCCCCATCTCTAATGTAGGTGCTTAAGTCGTCTTGTTGCGTACGTTAGCATTTGTGTATACTATGGTAAGCGATCCCATAGTGTTAGCAATTTTAGTGTCATTTATAGTAATATAGATAGCAAAATACGTAAGTTATTGTTGTTTGTTACCATGTTAATAGGTGGCTTATTCTCATCCCATAGTGTTAGCAATTTTAGTGTCATTTATGGTAATATAGATAGCAAAATACTAAGTTATTGTTGTTTGTTACCATGTTCATAGATGGCTTATTCTGAGAAACACCATTATAGTAATTTTTTATGTTCTCATTCTTTATTTAAAATATATACCCACACTTAATTTGTGGAGCCCTCATAAGACTCTAAAAGCAGCAAAATAATAAGACCATGCAGATTCTGAGTGCAAGCAAGTTTTTTAGGACATTAATTACAGAGCTATCTTGTAATTAACTTGTTTTCCCCTCAGATTCCTTGGGATCTATGATTTACTGAAGTTATGGTTAGAATGCATAATTTTCCTAATCCATATAGTCTGTAATGTGACAAAATATTTCTGACATTTCTGAGGTTGTGAATTATCAAATACTGGGTAAGAATTAATAGTATTCCATACTACACTATAATCCAACTATTTGAAACACTTGTAATTTAAATTGTGCTGAATTAACTGCAGAATTTGTGATGGCTTTTGAAATAAATTGGAAGACTTATGATGTACATGTAAGTGAAGTTAAATTGGAAAAATTTTTTATTGGAAGCTATTTGAAACAACCCCCCTCAAGCCTCTCCTTCTAGCACTTCTATATAAGTTGTGCTTATGTTTTACTCAGAAGGTGTGCAGGTTCTCAGTGACACTGTTGTAAAATGGTTTGACTTTATTTTGCTCATATATGTTTAGTTAAATGATTTTATTTAATTATGAAGTATTTTCTATAGATTTATGAACTGCATTACTTGGAATTATTTCTTTGAAATTGACTAGCTTTAGCAGTCAATACTTGCTAGCAGTTATGTATGTCTACAGAAAAGAATTCGTCCCTTGGCTGTATATTTAAACTCCAGGTTTTATTTGCATTGGTTTCCTTTAGTACAAAGTATGATTAGCAAGATGTGTGATAATAGAACTACAGAGAAATAGTTTTTGTCCAAGGTCATGGAACAGGCCAGTGAATTAAGGTAGAAGTAAAACCTTTCTCTTCTGACTCCATAACTGTTTAGTTTAGAGCATTACCTAATTTTTACTTTAAAAATGTTTCTATATTATAATATGAAAATGAAGTGTGTATTTCTATTGTGTATGTCTTAAGTATGAAACAAGAAAATTTAATAGTGATATAATGATTGTTTATTGTGGTGAGATACATATGTATGTATGTGTTTTTAAACTTGATAATACAAATATTCCGAAGCTTTAAATGCTATAAAAATAAATGCTTGTTGGTCTTTGAAATGTACAGTTGCTTTCTTTGATACAGCTTTTTGCTCTGTGTGATATAATTTCATTTGTGTCTGTTTCACAAAATAAACCATTGCAATTTAGAAAAGTACAAGTCCAAATACTATAAATAAGTAAAAAATAATTAAAAGTGGTGTGAGAAATTCTGTTCCGAGGCCTAGCTGTTGGTAGGAGCAATTCTAGGATAATCTAAACTACAGCATATTGACACACTGTGCAGGAAGAAGTTCTTGGATTTCCCTCCCAGCCTACTGAAAAGATCAGGAGTTTGGTAACATTTTCTTAAATCTGTGTGAAACTTCATGGTGGGAATCTGCAGTCTACAGATTTGTATCTTCTGGAAGAAGATGATTTCTTCTAGATCAGTCTGCTTTGCTAAATGTTTTTTAAGTAGCAGAGGAAATCCTGTAGTGAAGTTTGATATTATTTTGTGGAGGCCTACTCCTGCAAATCAGTTCACATGGATCTGTGGAGCTCTGTGTTCTCAGAAGTATATGTTTATCCAAATTGCGTGTTAGGAGTCAAAATTGGCTACTTATTTATACATTATGAAGCTAATTGTATGTGTGAGAAACTCAGATAAGCTCATTTTGAAAGAGGTAATATTATCTGTACCTTTTACTATCGGTACCTTTTTTGTCAATTTTTTAGAAGTTGGATTTCTGGTTGATGCATACTGTCTTTCTGAGAAACCTCATACGGCAAAAACTTAGTCCACATACAGTAATAAAAGACACCCTATGTGTTCTACATAAGACTTCTGTGCTTTAGTTTAGGAAAAACACTGATGGGAAATTAGAAGTAGATTACCACAATCAAAAATAATTCCATTGTTTTGTACTTTCATTGTGTTTCTAATACTGGTTGCCTTACTAAATATTATTTAATGAAAACCACATCTACTCTCTTTTTAGTGGAAAACATTGTGTCCGGGTATCTGCTGTGCTGAGCGTGGCTTCATGTGATATATTTTAGGTGTTTGAATATGGCACATAAATTTGCCTGTGGCTGTATTTTTTTCAATGAACTTGAGAACCGGTGAAAGCTGTTGAACTTGTACCATGTATTTCTTGTGCCAGGAGTAGGTCTTAAGTTGTGGGTCTTTTAATTCTTAGCCATACAGGAACAAAACCAAGTTCTCATGGGATGTGTGGATGTTAGGCACAGAGAATTATTCCCCCTGTTTTGTTTCTGAATTGTTCCTTGGAGTTTCTGGTTTTTTCTTGATAGCTTCTCTCAGCTGAGTTTCAGAACACGGCACTTCAAGCCATAGAGGCAAAGCAACAAGAACATACGATAAGCAGAGAAAAGAAGAGGGGTTGTCTCTTCTGTCTGCCCCATGCTTGTTGAATGTGTTTGTATTGACCTGAAGCCTGTAAAAACATTTCTGAGTTGTAGAAGTGGTTGGGCTCCGGGTACAGGAGCAAGAAGAGCTGCATGGGTGTTGGCCTTATGTGAAAAGCTGGTTATAGGGTTACAAAGTTAACAGTTGGCTATGGAATTGGAAGCTGCCCCTTTTCAAACCATAAGTGCTGTTTGCAGTCCTGGCCACTTCAGCTGGACTACCTCATAGTTTACATGGTTTGTCTTTGATCTTTCCTCATGACTAGAAAATATACACAGAAGTATATATGAAGTGTATACAGGGTTGCATTTATGCATGTCTATCCATATGGGCCATTTTGTCCTTTGACTGGAATATGGAGTTTAAAATGCATTCTGCTAGAGAATATAATGTTTCTAATCTCAAGCCTGTTGGTCCTTACAGTGTTGCAATAGATGTATGGTGCAGCAGAATCACAGTCTCGTTGCCATCAGCAGGGACCTCTGGAAATTGTCTAGTGCGAATCCCTGCTCAGGGCAGGGTGAGCTAGGACAGGGTGCTCAGGGCCGTGTCCAGGCAGAGTTTGAATATCTCTAGCAAGGATGCAGAGTCTTCAGCCTGTCTGGACAACCTGCTTCTGGTTTGATGAGTCCTCCACTCACCTAACTTGTTAGATTGTTCTGCATCACTGCAAGTGATATAGAATTAAATTCACTTGGGCTGCTTTAAGGATGGCATTTGCTTTTCGGCTTTGTCTCCTACTGAAGTTTCACCTTAATTTAAAGTTGTTTTGTGACAGATCTAGTTTTCTGAATGTTTTTTTTCCCCTTACTTCATTCTGCTGCCTTTTTTTGGGTAATAGTTATAGTATCAAAATGTAAAAGAAGAGATGGGTATTAAGCCAGTAGGCAACTGTTTAAATCTTTATTACTGCCTATTTCATTGCAATTATAATTCCTTCCTCACAGAATTGCATGGGTTGGTTTAAAATGCAGGTAAAGGGCTGCATCTGACTGTTTTTCTTTTTAACAAAAGCCATGTAACGAGTTGGCTGTTTCAGACATTTCAAATATTGAACTCAACTTCATTTCCCTTCTTTTCCAGTTGCTGCTGTAGTGTTATTCTGTACAGCCCAAAGCCCACATAATATACCTCTGACTGAAGTAATTGGGCCAATATGGCTCATGTTGCTACTTGGAACTGTGCATTGTCAGATTGTTTCAACACGAACTCCTAAGCCACCTCCCAGCACAGGGGGTAAAAGAAGAAGGTATAGTCTGTGTTAAAGTACTTCTCATTTAGGATTGTTAAACTTTTTTAAAGAACGTGCATGAAAAAATGTAGGGGCTCACAGTTTCTGCTTTGCAAGAGATGAGAAATTGGTAGAAATGGGTGCTTAATTGGTGCTCTTTCACTTTTATGCATTGACTAATTTATGCATTGTTTTATTTGCATTAAAATTTAATGCATTGAATCTGACATTTTGCCTCAAAACAGTTTGTATCTGAATTGCGGATTGACTGTATGTTATTGCAAATTTAGTTTTAGAGCGCTGTGCAGTACTGACTAATGATCGCTGTGGGAAACATACATTAAAGGAGATGCTACTGCAAGTGTAGAACTTACAAGTATGGTTTGCTACAGTGCATTGCCCCATTAAAATGGGAAAACCTGCAGTAGAGAATTTTGCAGGTCTAAGCTTCTGATAATTAGATGAAATGTATTTTGGGTTATAAGTGTTACTATCATAAGTGTTTTATGCTTAGTTTTATTAAATGGAGTTTATTAAATTGATGTGATAAAGCTTTAGCAAAATATTTTGAAATCTTGCTTGTTTTTGCATGCTTAAACTGCTGAACACGTTATAGGACTAGTAGATTGCACTTATAAAGCTACCTTCCGATTTTAATCTCTTCTGATGAAGGAAATTAAGGAAAGCAGCACATTTGGAAGTACATAGGGAAGGAGATGGCTCTAGTACCACAGATAACACACAGGAGGGAACAGTGCAGAGCTACGGTACAAGCACCTCTTGCAGTATTGGCGCTGTCTTCAGAGATATCTGGCATGCTGCTTTCTTTTTATCAGGGTTTGTATTTATTCAAGGCTTACATATGTGTTAGAGATGCACTATCCCTTTTCTAAATAAGTAAACATTGATGTAATGATTAAACTTTTGTTGATTTAGTTTTTGTTCTTAATAGTAAACTCATCTCAGTATTTGAACATGCACTAATGTGTTGTTTCTAGACTTTTTGCAAATACTAATGCAATAATTTTGAAAAGATATTGAATTAACTTTTAGTTAAATTATATTTTGATGTTAGGAGTACTCTGTGGGGGCTATCAGGAACGAACCAATTCAGTTTCTCAATTTTAATCCAATGAGAAAATTTGGGTCTTTAATTTTACTTTATTATATTAGCTGCTTACTCTGAGAGAATGTTTATTGAACTCTATCACTGTCATCAAATGACACACTTTTTCTGAAGGAAAAGCCTTCATGATTCAATTAGGCATAGTGTTTAGTTTATAAATAAACATTGAAGTTACTTTTTCTAATGATTGGAAGAAACATCTAACCCTGTTACATTCCAGAGCTGTTTTGCAAATGATCGATCTGCTAATGCAGTGCTCTGGGCAATTAAAAAGTTTTTTTTAATAACATTCTGCAGCAATCTGTGTTCTAGATATGCTTTAGAAGCAGCATCAAGTGCTATATATCAGCATTCATTAACAAGAGAAAATATGCTCATAAAATAGTATGAAAATGAGAAAAGGGATACTGCAAGTTATTACATTGATGTTTTGTTGTGCATGCTGCATCTTAAATATGGCAACACTAACGTGTCTGTCATACTTGTGATATGTGCTCTTAACCACTGGTAAAGCTTATGTTATGTTACATTCTGGGAATATCTGGTTGAAACTTGGGAGAAGTTTTAAAAATGTTTAAAAATATTGCAAGAAGAGAGTTCATTTAACTTTTTCCTGTGTAGATTAAGTTAGCTTTACCAAACTATGAGTCACAGTAATAGATAGCACTGCTGTCTTTGGGTCTGTATGCATTCCTTTCTGCTATGTTAGGAGTGTAATGTTATAAACTTTTCAATCTTTTCCATTCATTGAAGATACTGATCTGCAGTAAGAGGAGGAGTGTTGGAAGATTCATTTTTTTTTTCCCTTTCCTTCCTTTGTATTGGGCTCAGAGTGTTTTCAGTTGAGAAGGGCTATGTGGGACTTGCTCTGAGGACTTGTTTAAACCATTTAATGAGAGGTAGTGTATACATGTATAGATATTAAGCCTCAATGATGACTACTTAGTAGATACGCTATTTTCCAAGGATGAAGAGCACAGAGTGACTGAGAATGCTGTAAGTAGCCCTTAGTCACTTGTTACCTCTTCAATTGCAGAAGCACAGTTGTTTGTATCTCTGGAACTGTACAAACTATATCAGGAACTGATCCAACTGAAAAATAACCTTTTTTTTCCCAGGAGATCATGCAGATCAGTTTCTTCATGTCATTTTTTTGTGGTAATGAAACAGTTTTATCAGCACAGTGGGATGGCAGAGTGGGGCTGGGAACAAGTAAGCAGGAGTGCAGTGTGAAGCACATTGACTGCTTTACTTGGTGACATTGCTGAAGAAAACCTTATGAAACCTCAGTGCAAGGAAGCTGTACAGTGACATCTGTCCTGTTACTTAAGACATATTTTGAATTTCTTTAGATAAGCACATTAGTATGTCTCATTAGTGTTTATTTATAGCAGTTTTTCACATATATTAAGCTTTGAGATACCATTTTCTTGAGTTTTAAATATAGGTCTTAAACACATGGTTTCAGAATTAACATTAACCTCAGAAATTATGTTCTTTGCTATAGGGCAGGGCCCTGTGTACCTAAATCATTTGCCTACACTCAGGTCATTGGTAATCTGGAACTGTGTATTCAATAAATAGCCTTTTGAATTGAACTGAATGTATTCAATAAATACCCTTTTGACCTCAGTCTGATTAATAAAATATAATTCTAAGCTTTAATCCAGCACAGAGGCAATGTAGAAAATACTAATAATTAGTTTCAGTGGAAAAGAGGGCGATAGCCAAATAGCTAATCTATTCAGAATGTAGTACTGATTTGGGACTTTGCTCTCCACGTGTGTCCTTACTCCAGTTGTGGAAATTTTACAACTGTAACTTCTTTAAAAGTTTTGCAGCGTGAACAGGGTGGAGAGTTTTTTTGACCAACCCCCATGAAAATACATAGGAATAGAATACTTGACAGTGAAAATCTACAGCCTTCCAGAAACTTGATTTAAATCTTCCTTAATACTTTCTCTAGCTCATGCATGAGTAAGACTGAAAGTCATTCTTCATTTAGCTTTTGCATATGTTCAAGCTTTTTAAGACTTTGGATTTATTCATGGTGTTGTCCTGTCTTGCTCTTAAATACTTTTAATTCTAGCATGAAATTTTAGAAGTTGATTGATGACATGTGTGTGTATATGTATATGTAGTAATTCTAGGAAACTACATTTCTATCAGCTAGGGAAGTATTGTTCATGTTTATTATTGTTGGTTTTGATTTAACACAGTATGGTGCATGAGAGCCCAACTTTAAGCCCATATTTATGCTTTTCTGGCTTGAGTTTTACACTTAAATTTAGGGATTCTTACAAAAAATAACTTTATTCTACTTTAGAAACAAATGGAAGACTTCAGTCAAGTTACCTGTTTTTCAAAATGAGCCTTAGTTGATACCAGACTCATATTTGTCTTGCAGTTTTAGCACTTAAACCTTGAGTAGTGAAGTCCTATCTGAACAAGTTATACATACATACGTTCTTTTTTTCTCTTACCTGTTCCAACTCAACAGTTTAAAGCTACTTCTTCCTAGTAGCTTTCAAGTTTCATGTGAAATATATAAAAACTTCTCAAATCAAACTTGGAAGGGTTGTCCTGTTATTCCATTCATACAGTTTAGTAACTTGTGGAGTGAGTCTCTCAGAGTGATGTGTGTATGTATGTATGTGATGAGAACAGCATTCCTTTTTGCATTGTTAAAAAGAAATTTTTAAAAAGTGCCAAAAGTATATTTAGTGCATTAAAATCTGGCCTCTCTGTGTTCCTGCGTATCACAGATAATTTAATATTAGTGCTACTTCCCTAGTGCTCACAACTGAGCTTACTGAAACTTGTTATTTTACAATGAGTTGCCACTGAAAGGCTGGTACTTGCTTTATTCCGGAAGCGGAACAGCAAATTTTTCCATTAAATAATAAGCTAAGCTTTCTCTTTCTTCAGTTGTCTTATCTTCATTAATTTAGTTAAACAGTGGCATTATGGAACAGCACAGAAATGAAGTTCGAACAAGTTTACTGTTGATAGTTTGACCTTTTTGTCCAAAGCCTCAGTAATGTTTTAGATGATCTTCTTAATGGACCTCGAAAATTGAAACTCTGTATGTGAGCTATCACACTGGTAATCTGAAAACTGGAGGCTAACTGCTTCTCCACCACAAAGCACACATTAAAGCCTCTTGCTGTCTCTTTGCCTTTGTAAGCTTATAATAAAAATTAATCTGTGCAGTTACATAAAAACTACAGAAAGTGTTTCTGCTGGTTTTGTACTCATTTAGAAATAAAGTTAACTAAGACTTTTGGGAATAGGTCAGGGAATAGTAGGTGAGTTCTGTAGCTTCCCACAAGAGAAGTGGAGCGTCAGTTATTTTGGTTCAAAAAATATATAAGTACTATTAGCTTTTTTCCAGGAAAGTGTGAGGGAAGGTAGAATGAGATTAAAGATGGGAAAGGAGGATGAAACACCTTAGTAACACTGTCTCTTCTCTTCATTATTTTGTCTGCATTCCAACAGGTGAATTGTGCCTTTTCTGATTTTTTTCCATTTTATCCAGATTTCCCTATCCATTTTTTTGTGTTCAGGTCTCCCCTGTATATGTGCAATACCTTATCTTGGGATGAATGTGAGGCAACTATCCAAATTCTCCCGATTCGTTCGATGTACATATTAAAGAGGAACTTAATCGTCTGCTGTGTAATCCAAGCTCTCACAGAATGCCTCACTCCTTAAAGAGAAAGGCAATGCATATTCCTTCATGGGAGCACAAGATCAACTGAACCAGTTCTTGAGAGTTTTATGACCTATGTCTAATGTTCTACTTTTAATAAAAATAAAAAAATCTGGAAACTTGATTTCTAACACTTCTTATTTTTCACAAGTGTTCTGGGAATCTAACAAAATAATAAGTACAAGATATTAATTGCTTTTCTGATTTTTTTCCATGTCATTTACTTTGAGAATACAGAAGCTTAAGCAGAGGCTTAAACTAGTGTCTATCGGTAAGGTATCAAGCTGCTATTCCTTTTCATTCCTTCATCGACTGCACTTTCTAATTTGGAAGTGTAATCATCCAAACATTTGCTTTGAGAAGGACTTTTTCTGGCATTAAGTATTCTTGCTGCTACATCTATTGACTAGATAAGGGCCTTGGTGAAGACAGTTCATCAATATTAGTAGTCTTAAGAATAATAATACTGAAGCATAATTTATGAATTCATTTGTGATTTGAAAACAGACTTAATTAGTGTGTTTGTAAGATATATCAAAATACGTTGCCAAGGGTGTTACTGGATAATACGGAAGAGGGTAAATCACCTTCTGTTTAGTAGAGTTGTCAGTAAGCAGGGTATATTTAAAATAATGACAATAAAACAGGTCTGTGTACAGAGTACTAAACAGCATGTCTGTTTGCAGCTTCAGGAAGTGGCATTCTTTGAATTAATAACACTTAAACTTTTAGCATACCTCTTTGTTGAGATAGAGAAGACTCTTGTTTACATTTGAGGCTTGTGGTTCTTCTATTGCCAAAGTTGCTGTGAAGTTTTAGTTTTAAAACATAGGTTTCCTTTTCTTTCAGTAGCTAATGTTATAATTTTCTTTCAGACGCTGACAGTTTCTTTTGTAATGATTTTAGGAAAGGATGAGGGGTGTTATTTAGAAGACGAAATAGTTCCAAATATTGCATCAAATGTTATTATTATTAGTTTGTGGTCATCTTAGTAGTAAAACTAAAACATGGGTTGAGAGGGATAAGCAGGATTTAGACTGGGGAAAAAAATTGAAAGAATCATTAATACATATATTTGTTTCAAATATAGATCTAAGAAAGCAAAAAACTCAATAGATAAATCCACTGAGACCGATAATGGCTACGTGTCCCTTGATGGGAAAAAGACAGGTAAAAGCAGCGAAGAATGTATGCAGGCCCACGAACGTCGATGTGAAGTGATTAAGCCAGAAGAGTCAGGGTGGAGCACGGCAACAGTGAGAGACGCCTTCAGCAATCACAGCCATCACAAAGTAAGTGTGCTTCGTTGCTTTCACAGCAGGAGTTTTAATTTCTCAAATGATACGTGGGGTGTATTTTTATGATGCTTTTGATGCATTCTTATCTGCTTTATCCTTAAAAGTGTTTTTAAAATGAAGTTAGGCTTAGGGTCCTGGGGCCAAACTTTATGTTAAGTCTTCTTATTTCATCCTTATATTCCTAGTCTTTCCTTTTTCTTGTAGGAGGATCCTTACTGACATCTAAACATTCTTTGCCATTCTGTATTTCAGTGCACAAATTTGTGTGCTGGTTTTTGTCTCTGGGTTTTTCCAGACCAGTTAAACACTCTGTGCCTTTTCCTGCCTCTTTGATACTCTGGGCACAGGTCTGTCTCTGTGCTAAAATGGAACAAATGTTGGATTACTGACAATTTGTAATTTTGAGGTCATTCTGAGTATTTGCCTGTGAATCATCTTCCTTTTTTTTTTTTCTGTTTTGATTTGATCTCTGTACACGATTTCCCTCTCAATGAAGTAGGCACGACTCTCTATAGTGAGGAATAGGGGTGAGATGGAAGCATAGGAAGTGGCCATGAAAGAAAGCAGAACTTTTAATTAAGTTAGGTCTGATTATCTCCTGGATATCCTATTTTCATCTTACTGTTCTGCAGAATAGCTTTTCCAAAACATTTTCCCCAGCTCTATTGTCATTGGCATTTGAACATATATTGACTGCCATTACAGCTCTTTATACTTGACTGTCTCACTAGTATTTACTATCAGTGATCAATCATAGCAAGGGGTTTTCCATGATAATATCAAAGGGAAATGTTATTCTACTGCAAGTTTACAAGTACACACTTTTATAAAGGAAAGGCATTATTTAACATATCCTTAAAGATCCATATGATTAAGGCAGAATGAATGTGATGAAGGTTCATCTCAGGGCAAAAAAACTTCACTCTGTTGCTCTGCAGGAGGTGCTTTCTCAGCAGTGATAGCAACTGAGTTTCAGTTGTGTCTATCAATTCCAAGCATTTTGCATTCTTGTTGAAATCCAACAAATCAAGGATTTTAAAGAAAAAGTAGTTTTAAAGAGTTTTAAGTTTCTTTGATAGAATGAATGAGATGTTGTCTATGTTGAACTTGCTTGGTGAGTATGCACCCACATTAAAGAGAAGGTGGCAGAGGCTGGGGAATAGCTTCACTATTTTTGTCCTTTTAGCATTCATTAATGACACAGAGGTTCCAAAGGAAACTTTACAGAGTCCTATCTGGTGATCTCATAATAAATGAAAATATACAAAAAGTTTTTGACAGATGAATGATCCTTTGCTGCCCTTTTTTCTTTTTGTTACTGTAGGGGCTACTTTAACTTTAGTTTAAAATTAGGGAAATGGAAAGTGGAATAAATTAATGATCTGAGTATCTTACATGCAATCTGTAGCACTTTCTCATTGGAAGAAGAGGTAAATGTTAACTTTGTACTGTGTGTGTTGATAATTCAGTGCTATAGTGTCTGCTATCACAATTTTTGGTGGGTTTTTTGGTTTTGTTTTGTTTTCAAATCTTCTGAATATATTGCCTCTAAGCTTTTCTTGGTAGATTTAGTTTAGACAAAATTGCATTTAAAAGAAGGTCAGAATAGTTCTTTAGTATAATATGAACTAGCCCTTCATAATCTGAGAAATGT